TTGCGTTACTGATTTGTAATGTTGTAAGATGGTAGTATCATAGCATTTCAGAACCCTAATAGTGTACTATTCTTAGAGTGGCCTACAAGAGAAAATGCAATTTTGACAACACAGGCACTCTTTTTTTATATAAAAGATTCTACCGTTATTCATTATAAACACTGTGGTTAAAATTGGACTTTTTTCCATTACAGCTTATGGCAATACAGACCCCTGTATGACCTACCGTACCATAAACCAAGCCAGACGAACCAGTGCTGCCTCCAGGGTTGACCCAGATCTGGACATCTGTGACATCTACCTAGACAAGGACTGGTACAGGTTCACCAGCTACACGGGAGGAGAAATCCCCACTAGCTGTGTCGATGTGGAGTCTTGTAGTACAGAAGCACCGGTGTGGATGAATGGCAGCCTTCCAACCACCGACGCCATTGTCAACAGAACGGCGTGTGCCAATCTCGGCTTCGGGACAGACTGCTGTACATTTTCGTGGGACATCAGAGTTAAACGGTGCTCGGATGCACACGGACTGTTCTATGTGTATGAGCTGGAACCGACGCCTTTTTGTCCGATGGCATACTGTGCTGGTGAGTTAAATTTCTTAATGAATTTAGTTTGTAGACATATCACCGTCCAATTTAGCCAAAGCTAATATTAAAAAAAATACATATAGACCATATATGTAGGCTCACAGAGCCGTAATGTAATCATCAATCCAGACATATATGAAATGAGATTTCTGTTACATTCAAAATGTTTCTGTTTCCCCCTCTTATTTCAAACTGTTGTATCGTTTGACTTATATCAAGTTAAATCAAAGTTTTTCGCAAGGATACAGCACGTGATTTTTATGGTTGACATCAGCGCGCGTATTGATTTTCGCCTGATTTTTGAAATAAAAAAGAAGTTTTGCTGCCCTCTGACAGTGGTCAACAATAACATGCCGCAAATGAGCAAATATATCTGTTACCATGCCAGAGAGGAGACAAGACAAGGCTCTGATTGAATGTTTTGTCTTTTACTATGATGCAGTGATGCATTTCATTCCATATGTGATGGTGGCTGTGTTTATGTGATGTCCACACTAAAACAAAACTATTTGTACAATGATTGACAACTTTCTTTTCAAGGTTGTTTCAGTGAAAAATGGTAGGCAATAGTTGTCACAGTATAAATATCATTTCTTGCTATCTGAGCTTTAGTCTCTATGTGATTGGTTTGTTACATAGTTTGAAACACTAGAAAGTATTGCATTTGTGGGTAATACATATACAACATCAATTCAGAAGTCTTTTGAAAACGTGTTTAGTGATAAAATCAAAGCAAAATTAAACGTAACTTTAACACCGGCCAGAAAGGTTTAATCTGAATGTTACAAGCCTGTCTGTTTTAGTGCGACGAAGAATGCATCTGAAAAACTCCAAAAAAATTAAACGCATCAACAAGAAGATAAATTTCTCCAAGGAGGTTCAGTCGATCAAGGATGTGTTCAGAATATTTGCGATTAGGTTGCTCAGCTCATGTAAAATCTCCTTCAATATTTTGGTACTGAGCTAGTCTGGGCCTAGCGCTTTCTATGCATTCAACTTACGCAGAACGTGATAAACTTCTCAGGGGTGAATCTCAGGTGGTGGGTACTCACACGGTTGTTATTAGGCTCGTAGCTGAGTGGGGTCCGGTCTAGGGTGACCCTGTGTCACTTCAGAGAACTGTCTATTGATAAAGTTGGTAATTAACCTGTTATCCGCTGTCTCGTTGCCTGGGATGTGGATAGAAAGGTATTTCTATTGTATGTTGAGTATAGTTTTTATTTCTTGGTACCATTTCCCTGGGTTCTCATTCTTTGATTGCAGTAGCTTTTCCTTGCTCTCTTGACCTCCCTGTTGATCTTATTTCTAAGTTGTTTCCTGAGGTAGATTTTTTCTTGTTAGAAAGCATCTTGCCGTTTTTAAGCTTAGGTGTTACCCACGACTTCGCTGTACAGAACCTAATCCAGGATTTGCTAATTGCAAGAACATGACAACAAAATAAAAATATGATAATACGTAATGCTAATGCTACTTTGGATATAGTTATTGTTTGGTTTGGTTTTTTTTTCTCTGTGCAGTGGAGTATGAAATGTCCGTCGTTTAGAGAGAGGTCTGAATTGGGAGGTGTTAATAGAAATGCAGCTTTTTGTAGGCTGGGAAGGTGAATAAAGCTAGGGAACATTTTGGTGACCATTTCAAACAACTTCCCTCTTTCGGTGCTGTAATGAGTGCAATAAAAAATAAAGTGCATGTCGTCCTCCACTGTAGTTTTTGGATAATATTTACATATTCTGTCGTTATCAGACAATAATATAAAAGTTGAAGTGATAGTGCTACCAAGATCTTAACCGGGTTGCATGCTTTAAAACGCGGAGAGGAAAGCCTGTTATTAAAACTTTGCCTAATCTTTACAGTTTCTTTTACAAGTAATATTACAACAGATTATGGGCGCACAGGCTGCATATTTCTGTTAATGGTACCATTACGCTGGACTACCGCCTTACAACAAGACAGTCATGATTATAGACACCATTTCAAAAGCCTGTTTTGGCCTCATGCCATTTTCTTTTATAGAACAAGTCGTACATGATATACTGTTTGGAAAATACCCTATTCAAAGCGAGATAACGGCATTTGCTTTGCAGACAACCAAAAATGTTGCTGGGAAGCATGTGGCTGCACGCCACTTGGCAGCTCTTATTTTTGTTTGCATTACTTTGTTAGGGACAGCTCTTCAAAAACTCATCAATGACAATTGTTTATCGTACATTTGGACAAAAGCCAAATAGTAACCAAGGGCTATTCCAACATTCACATTGTTTTTGCTGTCTTATCGTAACCTCATTTGTTTGTAAAGTGGATGTAGCTAGCAAAATGCCAGCTGCCTCTGGTTTTCTCCAATACCGCGTCTCCGTTGGTACCGCATTTAACATTACATTTTAGAGAGCGCTATTTTCAGCTATCTATTTTTATATGTTGTTTTCAAGGTGTTTCAATTCAGCAGTACTAATAGTTTATTGAACTTTTTCACGACATATAGTAAGATAAGGGTATGTAGATAAAGAAAAATCACAGCCAGTATTAAAAAAAGCACATAATCCCTCCCTTACAGTTCCGTCATTAAAGATAGTAAATCTTGTCACAGGGGATGTGCCTACGGTGCATTCTATACGTCAGTTGTCTATTGTATTTGTTCTCTATTTCTCTAATAAAAAAGAAATTCCATATTTTTATTCTAACCTCTGTCCTTCCTGTGTATATCAATGATATATGCGTTAGCTTTAAATACTAGGTTGCGCTTTAAGTTGAAAAAATCTTTTAAGTTTTCTTGTAAAGTTTGACATACTTCATGTAGCATTGAATATATGACATACCAGTAAATTTTAAATAAAACTGATACTATGTCTACAGTTTACACACTAATAATATGAAGCATGAGACTGAAGTAAATTTGTTATGCTAAAATGTTTAAACTAGTTTGCTACCTTTTTGTTCACCTACATGTAAACTGGTTGTTTTTGATTCGGTACTTAGACTAGTCCGGTTGTCAAGCAAAAAAAAGTAGTTCAAGTCATATAGAATATACGATACGGGTCTATAGTTTGCAGTTTGTAGTTGTAAGTTGCTTCGCATTTATGACTTTTAACAGTTGTAGGGAAACTATATGATCTGTTGATTACCCTACCTGTTTGACTCCTGCTAGCTAGAATTTAGTTCAAAGTCGTATATCGGTATAGCTTTAGAAATGTGAAATTTTGCAAATATACATAGAATTCTGTGGTTATAAACCAGGTAGCGGGGCAACAAACAAGCATTGCCTAAACGCCTTACCGGCAAATATGTAAAATAGAAAAAAAACATTGACAGTTTTAGATACAAATATTTCATAAGGGACCAAATATGCAGTAAATCGATACAATATGGCAAAACGCGGTAGTTAATGATTATTCATACTTAGTTTGATAGGATAAGCATTAATTAAATACATATAGATAAACCATGTAATTATGTACCCTATATAATTACATAGGGCACTCTTTCGCAATATTCAGATAGACTTTTATCATCATCAGCTCAGTGGTTCCCGGTCAAGGACCGTCTCCCTCCAATCCGCTTTGTCCAGCATAGCTTCATGATAGACTGTACGCACGGGCAAATGAGTCGTAAAAATGCTTCCTTCTCTGTTAATTGGTTTAGTTTCCCACCACAAACATCTGTCAGTAAGACATCTGGAGTTGCATCTCGTTTTGAACTTTCATAACAGTCTTTCTTTAGACCAGTGTGCGCTTGGATGTAGATTCTTTGTTTTGTTGCTGATTGAGATAATTCTCTGAATCTAGGATGTTATTCAAATTAGCTGGTAAGAGACTGCATGGTAACCTTCCTTGTTTTCTCTCAAAAATGTTGCTCGGATGCATCGTCGTAGCGGAGCTATAGATGTTCGTTTGGCTTTGTGTCTGCTTCTTTGCATGACTGAGAGGCCTTAAATTTAAAATTTTTGAATGGTCGTCCGCATGCGTAGAACCTTGCTTGTTTACAAAAACATTCAAAAAGCATTTTGTACGTACATTTATAATGATTGATCTGTAGTCTGTTGTGTTTCTTTTGTGAAGGGGTTAGGGTACGAAATCATAGAAATCAGCCAGGAATAGTTATGCCTAGCAACGTTCCTTGCTTTTAACAAAATGTGTTATAGACGACGACGTTGTATAAATATACAGCCACAGGTAGTAACCCTTGGTTGTTTGGCTTTTGTGTGTGTCAAAATTATTGCTAGACTTTATGTCCCTAAATTTTCATTTTTAATCTTCTTCTCAGTAATCATCTATGCCAAACTACTTTTTTTACTGATAATGTAAATATCATTATCTAGATTAGAAGAAGTATTTTGTTATGGAACTTGGATTCTGTATTTACTCAAATATAAGATATTTGACTAGAATATTGTGTTGGTCTTTCTGGCAGGTTAAAGATCAAGGAACAAGCCCAGCAACTTTCTTTTTTTTTATTTTTACAAAATTGGGTTTTATGAAATTGTTGCAGGTTAACATCATTGTTTCTCTTGTGTGTCAGCTTCTTTGTCAGACCGAGTGGCTGTTAATTTCACCCGGTGATCATGAGGTACACTTGATAAAGAATAGAATTATTCCAATACACTCTGTCCCTCATTCCCGACACTAGATCCCTCATTTCCGACACTAGAACAGTCCCTGCAAGACCAGCGTATTCCTCTAACATTAACAAAAGTGTCCCACTCTACGTTTCTCAGTGGGAAGCCACTGTATAAATCTACCAGCTGGATCGTTACTACGAACAACAGAGCCAGAGCGAGCCTGCGTCGTCGCACTACGGACGAAAAATAGGCGGGAGCGAGCTCATTACATGGATACAAAATCATGTTTTGTGTTATGTTATAATACTTATAATGGTAGATTTTTATAGTGGTCGAACTTTTTAGACGTACTTATTTCACTGATTCAATACTGCGCCATTTTAGCTTGTCTTCCCAGGTAACATTCTTTATCTAAACATCTTTATAATATAATATAATATAATATAATATAATATAATATAATATAATATAATATAATATAATATAATATAATATAATATAATATAATATAATAATATATATAATATAATATAATATATATATATATATATATATATATATATATATAATATAATATTTGTACCTACGCGTGCCACCTTTTGTATTTGTAGATAAACGATAACCTGGCTATACGCATATACAATTAGAGATATTCCAGATTTGAAGCCATCTCAACGAAGATTATGTTTTGGTAGAGTTTGCAAAGAAAAACGCTAGTATGTAATTGATTGTCTTGCTGGTATGGTCCTGCTGATATGGTATGGCTGCGGGACTTTCTGTTTTGATATTTTATGATCACCTTATCACAATTATAACATAATTGCTATCTTGTTTAAAGAGCTAACTACAGAAAATTCGGAGGTAAACATCATTATATACACCGTTTTGAAGTCAGTACCAAATTTCTAGAATTTGCATAATTGATGAGAATCAGTTAAAAAAGTTAAAGTTCTACTTTTTTAAAGAAGGTCGTATTAAAATTACTAAATATTGTTTTATATGCGTTTTACAGGTGAATTACCTTTATGTCCTGAGGGAGAATTATATGACACATTTCACCAACATTGCATTCGTAAGTTGATCATCTTTAAATTTTACATAAATTGGTTTGGAGAACTTGTCCTGTGTACTGCATTTTATACTTCAGAATGTAGACAGTATTTGTGTTAGTGTGTGAGATTAAATGAGCCATTATGACTGTATTCATAGATATGTATGTTTACAGGTTTGTTGATTTGTCGTCTGTACAGTTTGATCATTTTAAACTCTATTATTGAATTTGATTGTCTACCGTTGAATATCTGTATAATAAACTTTAGGTGTTTTTGATTTCACGATTGGACACCCTTAACATAGAAACAAGGCCACCAGTTTCATGTGACTTTGAGGACAAGGGAACCTGTGAGTGGATTCAAGAAACCGACGATGATTTTAACTGGTCAAAAGGTTCCGGAGTAAACTCAGAATCCACTTTGCTACCTTCTGTTGATCACACCTCTGGATCAGGTGAATAAAATCTAATTCTATGAACTTTTTTTATCGAAATTTGGCTTATATACTATTCTATTATTATATACTATTCTGAAGATGCAAAAGTGAGACAGACGTTTTGTTACCCAGACTTAAAAGTTTTTTTTTTAGATTTTATGGTGTAAGCTGTGTATTGTATGTACATTTCAGGTAACGGAAAATACATGTTCCTGCAAGCCTCACCGTCACATCAACCGTTTGACACCGCACGAATTATCGGATCCGTCATAGTCCCGTCTAAAACACAAGTCTGCAATGTACGGTATCAATGTACAATGTATTAATTACATGCGTGCTAAATATGTATGTACTATATTGTTGTCCCTGTTTAACTTGAAGTATTTTACAAGACACGGTCAGTTGGTCTTTATCATTCTTCAGGTGCTTTTAGAAGATGATTAGAACCTTTTAAAAGTTTATGCCCGAGGGCTAATTGGAAACTGACAAGGATGATGAGTTCGATTTTTGAGGAATTTTATAAGACCATAAGCTAACATAAGCCGAAAGCTAATGCTAATATGGCAAAAATACATTGCAGATGACGTTCTACTATTCGAACCTTGGTGAAAACCTTGGCAATCTGAACGTCTTTACAAAAAACTACCATGACCATCGTGAGAGGGTTGCTTGGACGTCTCCCGCCGTGGCTACCGAAGACTGGGCAATGGTAGAGGTCTCTTTCGGAGATAATAGTCCTTTTCAGGTAAATTGGCTATGTGGTATTAGGTTCACCAATGACAAATTCAGTGCATACTTTGCATAACTAAGGCATCATGAGGAAACGGGGAAATTCAAATTACGAATAAAAAATGTTGGTGCTTTGGGTGGTTTTCACGGCCATCCCTGTAGGTTGCTGAAATAACGATACGTCAAGAGTTTTCTTCGATGCTCATTTCAACAGGTCATCATTGAAGGAATTATCGGGTACGGCCATCGTTCTGCGATTGCTATCGATGACATCTCGTTTTCTTCCGAATGCACCGTTGATGGTATGAAGCATCTCCTTTGTGTGGAAAAAACTTAACTTAATAGGTTGTTGTTTTAAAGTTTTAAATAACAAAAGGGTTTTATAGCATGGTTATAATTCATTATTTTTGGGTTTTAGTTTCATTTGGTATATATATATAATATATATTTATATCATACCCGGGCCGCGATAACGTTCGATAACGGGTTCCGGACC